ATCACGCCTGGGACCTGTAGCTGGTTTGCAGTTGATTCCAAACACGGTGTTCTTCCTGACCATGCCCACGGGGCTGCTTCTAGTTTGCATTCTCATTACAAGTAGAGTATTGCTCATGTGACTACAGAAGAACTTTTTATTTTAAGTAATAGTATAGAGATACTCGTAGGTCCCTACTTCTAACTTGTTATTAACGTTTACCATCATTGGGGTTTCTAAATTACCACTTTGAGGCAAGCAAAGGATGACGATGGAAAATGATGAACACGATTCTTGAAAACTATAGATTCTTAATACTGAAAATAGAATACACAAGTTTATACAACAGAGCCTATCAAGAAAATTGGGCATTTATTTTAAATGCCTGAAAGAAGCTATCAAGAACCTATGACAGTTTTTCTAGGAATTGCTAATGACAAACATCTACTGTTTCTAAGAATGAGAAAGACAGTCAATGTGCTGACTTCTTCAGGAACAATCTAAGCTGGGACAAAATTAAGTGGGAAAATGAGGTATCATTTGCTGCCTATCATTAGTAGACTTTCAGTGGGGATAAGAACACTAACGTGGGTGACCTGAGACAAACTGGCATTGCCATGCTTTGCTGGGGGCAGTACAAATGGGCCCAATATGCTGGAAAGCAATTTGGCAGTGTATAATACCAAAGATCTGAAATATCATTATATCTTTTCATGTAGTAGTTCCGTTCCCTGGGATTAAACCTACAGAAAAGAAAGAAATAAAGAGAAAATGATACATGAACATTTTCTTTCCAAGGATTATATCTCAATGTTCAAAATAGCCTACATACCTAACAAATGACAAATGGGCAAGTTACAGTGTACCCAACATTGTAAACTGTACACAAAGAAAAATAAAGTGAGAAGAGGTTATAAAACCACGTGGACAAGGAGGTAGAACAGCAGAATTAAGACTTTGGAGTGTGACTATCTGGGTTAAAATCTGACTCCACCAACAATTAGCTGCATGACCCCAAGTTAGTTAATCACAGTGTGCCTCAGTTTCTTCATGTTAAATGAGCATGAACCCAGTAACTACCTCACTGGGCTTTTGTGAAGATTCAGTGAGAAAACACAAAGTGCTTAACTATCCTTTGACATGTAATAAACACTCAACAAATACTAGCAATTTTTAATAATCTAAATTATATTTGACATGATTGGCATAAAAAAATGGTAATACAGTTACTGGATGGAACAATTACGGGTTTTTATTTTCTTTTTTGTACCCTGCCATATTTCCCAAATTGAAAATCAGGGGTATGATACTTTTATGACTTAAAAAAAAGTATCAATAAAAACAAAGGGGAATGTTTTTACTAGTACATGGGCACATCTAGTAATTAAATGTGAGAACATATGGAAGCCCTTGGCACAGTGCCCGGCACACAATAATTCTTCTTCCAAACACTTGCTGGAATGGGACCATGGGGTGTACTAGGCAAGGGCCAGCCAACATCAAATTGGTAATTCATATCCAAGACTGCTGAAAACATCCAGGCCAGCAGTGGAGCCAGGCCGAGGCCTGGGTGTCCTGAACCAGGCCGTGGGCCTTAGCCCTGCCCCAACCCTGCATCTGGGCCAGCTTCAGAGCTGCGCAGGGCAGCTCCAACCCACCTGCAACCAGATCTTGGAATGTGCTTATTACCACCTGTGTTTTCTTTGAGGTGTGTGACTTATCTGCTCGTGTCCTTCACCAAATTTTCTGCTTAGATTTTCCTAATTCGCTTTTAATTGTTCTTTCTGCAATAAGGATGTTAATCTTTATGTGCTTTTTAAAAAAGTACAAAACTATGCTATCTACCCTAAGTGACTCATTGTGCAGTGTAGGCATGTATTGAAACAACACACTGTAACCCACAAAAAATACAAAAAATATATAAATTAAAAAAAAAAAAAAACTGCTAAGAGCTGCCTGCGCATCCTCACTGCTGGTTTCCTAAAAGCGGTGCCTTACCCACATCTTTTCCACCAGCAGATCCTTCTCCAGTCCCTCCCTCCTTGGAATAATTCCACCTTAGTCACCAGCCCAGTGGCCACCTTACTGAAGTCCCATCCTCAATAAATTCTGGCTGGTTGACTGAATCTAACATGATAATTTGAAGAGTAAAAACACTTCCTGAAGTCAGCAGTTCACCGTTTTATACACAAGTATTCCAATTTTCAAAATATGATGACTAACTTTTAACTCTGCATCACCACTCCAATTAAACATCGTATACATTCTTGAGGCCTCCACTACATCAGGTCATTGTCAAACGTTTTCCAAACCTTTGAAGACTGACATTGCTTTGAGTTATGTCTAAGCAAAGAACCAACTTTTTTAAAAACTCAGTTTTGGTTTAGACCTATTATAATATTCCACTTCAAAAGTTAGTTTTAGAAAGAGGGACTACACTACAAATATTTAAGTGAAATAAAGAGGAAATGTGGATAGCTAGAAAAAAAATATCATGGCTCACTCTATGAGATCTGAAAGAACACAGAGAGGGCTCATAGTAAAACCTGCATGGTTTGGTTCTATCTCCTATGAGGCTGTGGGGACTAAGATTCCCAGAGCCTTGTTTAATGAAATAGAGATAATGACAATTATTTCCCAACATTTCTACCTGTGAACTCGCTTATTAGCACAGCTCTTGGCAGGTAGAGGTGACCAATGCTCAGACAAATCTGAGTTTCTTGAACCCTACTTTGTAATCCACACTTACGGGAAGAGGTAAATGCACTTGGCTTATCAGGTCTCAACAATCCCAATTCCAATCTCCTGGGGGATAGAAGTGGGCCTCCTAACACCATGCATGCCCTCCACTCGAGACAGGTGCCGTTCATGACCCTGCTCACAGAACCACTTCTGATCCTCAAGACCCTGAAAGGTAGGCATGACGATTTTTATTGTTACCATCTTACAAATGGGAAGCAATTGTCTGGGCAATTTCCCAAGATCCTAAGCCCCCTGAGCAGGGGGCTTTCACTACACCACCTCTTCCAGGACTCTAGCCACCTAACCAACCAGTGTCTCATCCAAAGCAAATGGAAGTGGCTTCATCGAACTCAAGATGATCAATGAGTTGATAAGGTCGTAGACCCTTAGAAAAATCCCATTACAGAATAATATTAGAAGCTTGAGAAACTACAAAGCATGAAGAGAAATAAAGGAAGAAAATCTAGCATCAGAAAACTGGACTATTTCTTAAAACCAGAATCATTTCAAATGTGTCCCCCTTCTTGGGCACATGGCTGCACAGCAAGAGACTGCATTTCCCAGTCACTCTTTTGGCCAAATGTGCCACATGACCAAGTCCCTGCCAGTGGACCAGTAATCAGAACAGATTCTAGTTGCCTGCTTAAAAGCACATCCCTTTCCCTGGACTTCTGCTCCTTCCCATCGATGTCTGGAAGTAGGGGCAATTGGAGCGACCTTGAGCAACCTTAGGAGCGCAGAGCTACACTGCAGGCCTGGGTCCCTGGGTCATAGGTGGGACAGAAACACTTGTGGTCTTTAAGCCACTGTATTGTTGCGTCTGTCATAGCAACTAAACCTCTACCCTACCGTTAAAGAAAACAGGAAAGTAAGACAGGGAGGGAGAGAGAGAAGAAAAGGTAAACACTATGCTAAGAAGTCATCAGGTCTGCAGGACAGAACACTACTTCATTATACATGGAGGGATGACAGAAATCAGCTTTAGTTTTAACTTGTTTAACAGGTTTGCCCTCCTATCAATGACAAGTGAAAATATTTAACAAACTCTGTACATAAATATTTTCCTGACAAAAGCAAACAATGTTATTAAATATATAGAAACAAGACGGTCTCAATAACAAATGAAAAATATTACGACAAACTGCCAACAACTTACCAGATCACAAGAAAACAAGAACATTAAAAATTCCTTAGGTGCTATTTTTAAATAGCCAGGGAAATTGGCTTAAAATTATTAGCCATTATTTTCTTTTTTTTTGTCTTTTGTCTTTTTCCGTGTCTGGCAACGGATCGCAACCCTCAGTGTTGCCCCCGTACCGGACCGGGGACCAGCAATGGGATCGCAACCCTCGGCGTTGCTCCCGCGCCTCGCTCAGCCAGTGAGCGGGAACCGGTCCGTATGTGGGATCCGAACCCTCGGGCGGGAGCGCTGCCACGCTTCCCAAGCGGCGCACTATCCAGTGCGCCACCGGGCCGGCCCTTAGCCATTATTTTCTAAAATACCACAGTAAACAACAGGTACAGAAAGAATGATCCATGTAGCCTTTTCAGGAGGAAACACATGTGGTAACTTATTAAAAACACAGGGTTACAGATTTCATCTAATCAACTTAGTAAAAGCTTGCCCACAAAGTTAAAGACCAAAGACAAATGACAGATCGTGACAGCTGGCGCTGCAGGGACAGCCTGAATGAGTAGAATGCGGATGGGTGCTGGGTAGGGGTGGCTTAAGGAAATTAATATAATAGATCAAATAAGTATTAATGAAGACAGAACCAATTGGTTTCCCACCTTTCTTCTACAGGTTGACAAAGTCTACAGCTTTATGCAGATCATTAATCGTAACACAAAACTCAACTCACCTGAGTTTCTTAAAATGTGAAAAAGGAAATAGATTTGAAGAGACTGGGCCTTCCTAGAGAAAAGAATATTCTGCCTTCCAATGAAACACAAAGAAAAAATAGAGCTTTAATTTGTGACCTTGATTCACAAGAGCATTATAACAAAAGAACGAGTCTTGATGAAGTAATTTTAGCTTCCTAAAAAAACCTGACATTAACATACCTTCAATTACTCACAGTTCTTCGTCTTGAGTTTCCAGCAACTCTGAAGTGCTTGACAGATTAGGTTCTAATGCAGTCGGGTTCCACAACCAAATATACTTACAAAATAAAAAGTGCATTTTAACACTTCCTCTACAAATGTATAGACTTTGCTTATAAAACCTACATTGGTGATCCCAAAGGTTTGATAAGATAATAAAGAAAAGGAAAACCCACTTATTGGTACTAAAGCCTTTACTGTAATAAACCAAATATATTTACAATTTATACAAATGTTTAACCTTCAACAAAAATACAAAAAAACATTTCACAAGATGCAAAACCAGGAAACAAGTTCGCTGGAGACACCACTGCTCTACAAGGACGGAAGTGAGGTGAACTGCAAGAACAGAAAGGTCATCTCACATTCGGGCAAGGCGTGACCGACAGATCACCAAGAAAGAACAGAACGGGCTCAAACGTGGCTCAGCAGCTTCCATTCCTCAGTCCTGCCAAACCCCTTGGCCCCTCTGTGCACGTGGCTTCTGTGCTCCATTTGGTCTAGGTAGACAGGTGACCTTCTGTGGATAGCCTCGTCGTTTCCTCTTTGTAGAATCAAAAGTAGTTTTGTGTCAAGGTTTGGAAACAGGTTTCTGTGTTTTGTTTTTCCTTTAAAGTTACAACTTTTCTATTTCTACAAATTCAAAACATTTTGGCCCAATTCAACTATAAACGTTAAACCACATAATGTTTTCAGTAGATGACTTCATAGACTGTAGCCTTCTTGTCCCCTGAGCCAGTGACTATGTACTTATCATCCACAGAGATGTCACAGCTAAGCACTGATGAAGACTCTTTGGACTGGAAGAGAAAACAACGGGCATGTGTTTAATGTGGAACAAGGATACTCAGGGCCCTGCTTCCATCTGAGGCACCTTTGCTTCTGGTTTCAAAGGCGACACCGTGGTCAAATTATCTAGGTAAAGAGCATGCACTTACCTGGAATATACTGGCTCCATACGGGGTCCGCCAAGCATTGAGGAGGTTATCTTTTCCAGTACTCACAAACCATTTACCTAGAATTAGCAAAAGAATATGTACTTGTAGCAAGATTAAAATTCCTCCTATACTATTAGCAACTTGGACTTAATCAAACAGAGAGCGTTGTTAACACATAAATAACACGCACAAGGGCTGGTCTATAACACGTGCAGAAGTTTTAAATCTGGGCTTCTGGGTGAATTATCTGCATGATCTTGGTTATAATCAAAGAGGTGTCAGCCTCATTAGTCACTGGATACATGACTCAGCGTTATATTCAGCACACGGTAGGCCCTCGAATACTGAATCAGTCTTCTTATGATAAAATGGGACTACTAAAGATTCAATGTTGAATTTAAGTAAAACACCTGTCACGTTGTATGGCCCATAGAATGTGCTCACTAAGTTAATAGCTCTTTGTCCATCCGTCAATCCATCCTTCCCATCAACAAAGACCTGACCTCTGCAGTGCATAAGCACAGGCTCAACATCAGCTTCTTCCCTGCTTAGCCTCACTCACTGCAGTGTCAGAGTCTGGGTGCAGATAGACACTCCCTTCTCTGAGCCTGGGTTCCTCACCCTGGTCAGTTCATAACACCTCCCACTGCTTCTGCCCCATTCTTCCATAAATTCCCACCCACCCCTCTTCAGAGTGTAACTAATTGCCCCCCTCTCACCCCCACTAAAAACAAATATGCATCCAAACTTTGCATTAGGCAATTTCATCGCCTGCTGACTTTCCTCAAATTAGCAAAGCAGACTGAAACAGACATTACTATGCTCTGAGGGACATATTAAAACAACAGAATTGTTGTATCCAGCTGCTCGGAGAACAACATTTTTTCCAGATATAATCTCTACCCTATTTTTTTTTTTTTTGGCAGAAGTATCTTCCATTGAGGCCATCAACGGCTTCCAGTCCCCTCTCCGTGGAACGCACCACAATAAGCGAATTTCAGGGAGAGCACACAGCTCTCGTGGAGGTGCAGCTGGTACTTGTCCGGCTTGTTCACGTGAAGGACCTCCACGTTGCTGCTCTCCATGCCCACGGCCAGCCACTCCCCAGTGGGGCAGTACCCCAGGGAGAAGATCTGCAGAGGCGGAACAGGCTCGCTGATTATTTCACCCAGTGAACTTAGGAAGTGAAAAGACAGCAAGAAAAGGGGTATATAACAAGAATGTGGAAGCAAGCAGACAAATCCAGACTGTGGGAAAGTCTACAGGACAAGTAACCCAACCCAGGCGAATGAGTGTCAAGGATCCTTATGCAACAACTGGAAAAATGCGAACACTTCACATCATATGTGATGAAATTAAGGAGTTACTCTTAATAACAATGGTATTCCTGTGTGTGTTTTAAAGGAGTCCTTATCTTAGCAGCACTAAAATACTTAGGGATGAAAAGATAGGATGTCTAGGATTTACGTAAAAATAATCTAGTGTTTGAGGGGGAGGGTGACAAGACAGACAAGACTGGCCATATGCTTCAGGTGTTAAAGTGGACGACAGGGCCCGGGGTTCAGCATACAGTTCTCTGTACTTCCACATGCACTTGAACATTTTCTGTACTCATGTATATTTGAGAATTTCCATAAGAAGTTTTAAAAAAAAAAAGGACAAGCCAAAATAGGATCCTACTTATAGTGGGAAAGGGGTAGAACAGAGAAGACTCTAAAAAACTCAACAAAATGTTAATAGGGACATGATATTAGTAGTACATATAGTTGTTTTCCTTGTTTGTTCTATTTTTCTTAGTCAAATTATTTTTTTTTTTTTTTCGTTTTCCGGCAACGGATCGCAACCCTCAGTGTCGCGCCCGTACCGGACCGGGACCGGCAACGGGATCGCAACCCTCGGTGTTGCGCCCGCACCTCGCTCAGCCAGTGAGCGGGAACCGGTCTATATGTGGGATCCGAACCCTCGGCGGGAGCGCCGCCGCGCTCTCCAAGCGGCGCACTGTAGCGCTTCGCTCACCGGGCCGGCCCCAATCAAATTATTTTTATTATAAAAAAAGTAAATAAACATCAAGCAATGATAAAAGAGCAATTCTATCAGCAGAAAGCACTTAAAATGGCAAGCACTGTCTTTCTCAAACAATTCTATGTTCAGACACCCAACATCTAAACACATTTCACAATCCACAAAGTTGCCGTTCTCATCCTACTTCAGAACTCTGTAAATCTACCAGCCGCGGCCCCACATTCTGAGGGGAGAGTGACACAATGAGCATCTACTGAGACACCTCTGCATTTTGTCGAACTCCCTGACGCAGGGAAAATGAATTAACTTGCGGAGCTGTTGTGACTGCTTTCCACTCCTAGTGACACCCCTGCATGTTGCTCAAGCTCTATATGGGAATCAAATAATCAACTTCATTCCCGCATTAGCTGGTGAGAATATGCACAGCAGATCAAACGCCACTGAAGGAAAACCATACATTCTTCGCTGTCTGAATACCTTAAACACACTCACATGTAAATAAAACAGCTAACAAGTCTTAACCTAGAGGATTTTAAAAGCCACTCAAAGAGTTTCCGGGTTTCTTTGTGTGTTTGTGGTTTGTTTGTTTTTTTTAAATCAGTTATCTCAAATTCAACCCTGATCTGTTTGTCTAGATACTAGTGTTGTGGGGTAGGAAAGGAGAGAGAAGGATGACACGCCCAGGCCACCTCGTAGACTCCGGGGCAGGTGAAAGCCACCAGTCACCTGTGAGGTGAAGTCATGCTGCTGCAGCTGCCGCCCTTCCCGCAGGTCCCAGGACCTGACCGTGTTGTCCAAACCGCCCGTCCAGAGCTTGGTGCCATCATTAGAAATGTCAATACAGCTGGCTCCATCTGTGTGGCCCTGGAATTGCCTGATAAAACAAACCAGATTGAATAATGATTTCCTGCCAGAGCTCAAGGTAAACACTGTTGTGTTGTTAGTTTTGGACTCTGTGCGTGTGTGTGTCATCGCGTCAGGGTCTGCCGATGTGCAAGATCAAACTAACCTTCCCCAGAGGAAGAAAGCAGCACCTGCAGATTCTCTTTTCATGATCCAAGTGTTAAAGAAATGGAATGCCACTGCAGGCCACTCCCCCGAAGTTAACTATGCTACTCTACCTCCTCTGACAAATCTGTCTGGAAGGTAAAATTCCCCCCAGGTCTGGAAAAGTGTTAAAACAAAACATAAGATAAACACACAAAATCCCACATGTACTCCTCAAGGAAGGATAAAGACCTGCCCTTCAACTGTGAAGGCCTGGATCCGTGAGAGAAAGAAGTGGCGACTTCCCAAGCAGGGGCCACAGGCACTTGCTCCCGTGAGCATGGATTCTGTGAATCAACACAGCGGGATGCCCTCTGTGCCAGCACAGCATGAGCTCACGTATTTACTCAACCTTGCTTTCTGCATTAGAAAGAGCCCTGCATTAGGAAATCTGTACTCCCAGAGACAAAGGGTCACACACCTCTGGCCCTCAGAGGCACTGGGCAGAGACAAAGGTCACTGCTGTCAGAGGCAGACCCACAGCCACCTCCAGGCTGAGCACAAGGTTGGTTCTTTAAAGGGGAGCCTTGTGCCGACAACTCTGCTGAGAACAGGTGTTGCACAGGTACAGGTGGGCTTGCCGTGGGGAGGTCACTGTAAGCTGCCACAGGGCTGGGGTCTGCGCAGTGTGGGGGTGACTGTCCTGGCCAGCAAATAAGCCGAGGGCCTTAAACTGCATCATGAACAAAGATGAAACATGAAACAAAAGAGCAAACACATGCTAATTTTACCTCTGATGTCTCCTTAGTGCTTACTTTTCTAGAACATCTCTGGTGTGAGCACCTACATCCCCAAGGGGCAGGAGGTGGAGGAGCCAAGAGAAGCCAGAGAGAAGCAGAGGTTCAGGAGGCCTTTGCCTCCTGGCCTAGCTACTCACGGAGGGAACCCCACAGAAAGCCAGCCTTGCTCACCTCACCAGTGTCTGGTTGTGCAGGTCCCACACGGCGATGTTGCCGTCGCTGCAGCACGAGAAGCAGACCTTGGAATCGGGGCTGATGGCCAGGGCGTAGCAGGCGGGGGCCGAGGACGTCAGCTCTGCCTTGATGCGCGGGGTCGGAGCCGCCAGGTCCCAAATGGACAAAGTACTGGCTTCCCCTCCCACTATGAGAGTGCAGCCATCAGGGAGCAATTTACAGGAACGGATATAATTATCTCTATTCTGTGAAACAAACATTGTTCAGTTGCTAGAATGAATTTCCAAGCAATGACAGTGCCGTGTGCCCTAACTGCTGTCTTGGTTTTTGAATCAAAGAGTAGTATTTCATGGATACCCTTAACAAAGCAAGAGTTCTGCAGTAAAGATCAGGGTTCCACTGCAACTATCGCCTTCAAAATAGTAAACACACAAGCTCATGGGACTGCTTGGGCATGAATGAAAGCTTAAGATAACTGTTCCCGATTTCCTGCTTCCCAGACAGAACTGAAATTATCTAGGTGTAAGGTAGGTGTTCACGTACTTCTCTGAGGAAACCACTTTTCGAAGCTAGTTTATATACCTTTTATCTCATCATCCTCCAGTTTTACTATTTGGAAGCTGCAGACACACTGTCCACATTTTCATTTACATTACTCTTAACATTTCCTAATGCTGCATGGTGTCTGCAACAGTCAGAAGGATTCTTATCTCAGAATTTAATGGAACTGCAATCTCAAGCTGTAACACGGCTACTGCTGTATTAGACTTCCCAATCCAAAGGCCAAAGACACCAATAAAAGGAGGCATCTTTCCATCAAAACCAACGCATGTGAAAACAGGGGGTGAGACCTCGCATGACCCAACCCCCCAAAAAGTAACTGTTATCCTCCAACTTAAACCCAAACAGACACAGATGAAGTTTTTACAAGCTTTAATAATAGCCTGTCTTTCAAGTATTAGTGAAACTTGAAGGACATAACTTCAAAACAAGATACTTCTACTATTATAGAATTTCAAACTATGTTTCATTAATGAAGATATTTTCAAGTTACCTGATTAAAAAAAGGGAAAATACGCAAAAAACTACCCTCCAGAAGTCTTTGTGTCTCAAAAACATGGCCATTCTGCTTTTGGAAATATTCTCTCCAGAGTCCTCCCAATTTCCCAGGCAGGCAGTGGGTAAACGGCACCATCTGCAGTAGCAGAGCGCAGACAGACACCACCCCAGGGGCAGGGCAGCCTCAAGGCTGCTTAGAGCCGATGGTATGTGGTCTGTAAATCCTGGGGTTACAGTTTAGAGATCAGAACATGTCCTGGCGTGTTCTATGTCCCTGAAAAATGCAAAATGGTATTCTCAGACTCTGGGGGAGGGTGGCTTACGTGCCTAAGGAAAGCATTCGCATCGCTCCTGTTTTACTGACTGCTACCCTGATTTTTTGCATTGTAATCCTTTTAACCCCTTCCTGAAGTTAAGAAAATAAAACCAAACCAGCTCTCCTAGGTCTCCCTTAAAAACACAGACGCTGTTCAGAACGTTTTTTATGCCATGTTATCAAATGTTTACTATTCAATATTGATCTGAAGGCTACAGGGAAATTAAAAGTTGAGTGGACTGCAGGGATCAGAGTCCAGGCCTAGCTGTGCTTTTGTCCATTAAATGGGAAACCCCCTTTATAACAGACACCCCCACACAGATAGCTTCCGTAAACGACTGTAAAATACTTCTTTAAATAAATAAATAAATCCATCGACTCTGGGATTTAACCACTGCAACAGCAACAAATGAAAGTTTCACATTCAAGGAAATGGGTTGGGGGTGGGGGGCAAAATAGCTGACACAGGAAACAGAAGGGGCTTCCACCTCCTCGTAATGGGAATAAAACCCAGACCAGGACAGCTATTTCCTTACTGGGTCTCCAGGGAGAAATTACCCTGGTGCACCACTTCCTGCTCACTCACCAGACAGTCGAGCTGAGAGACAGGACTCTTATTGCCAGGGTGGCTGATGTCCCAGACCTTGACGCAGCCCTTCCCACCCGTGTACACATGTCTCGTGGGGTTGCTGATGGTCACCGCACACACCACCTCCCCGTGGTTGAGTGTGTTGATCTGGCGAGCGTGTCTGGGAATTCCAGGTCCAATGAGGGCGTCAGGGGGGAAGGGGACAGGCTGCATCTGACCGTCTGCCGTGACGTGGAAGGAGTATGCACTTTTGGAGAAGGGATGATTGGAGAGAAGAGAGAAGGACAGGAGAGAAGACAGAAAACACATTTATCATAAAGCAGTCATTACGCTGGCACTGTTCTAAGAGAAAGACTAAGAAAAGCAAAGATTCCCTTGTTACAGTTTCCTTTCGATATCAGTACAAGTTAAAGTATTTACTGATGGAACAAATTTAATATAAATAACAGAAATTTAGGACACATATTTTTAAGATTTAAAAATTGTGCTTATCCATTCTATAAAGCATTCCCTCAAACACCGTTATAAAACACTTAATATGCTTCCAAATTATCATAAAATACCTCCTTCTGTGTACCATGCATAATTGTATAATTCCTTAGTATAATTTAAAATGATTATTTTTGGTGCTTAAGATGAAGCCCTTAAGAACTCATAATAGTACACACAGTAAACAGTGTATTTCAACATTAACAAACAAAAAACAGCTTTCCAAACACACAAGTTTAAGGCTGGGACCTAAACTGTCTTTTGCATAACCAACAGGAAAGAAGAGATTCTCTTACCTCAAAAGCTTTGTAGCAGATTTTAAGCGTACTGCTCAACAACTGCCCTTTCCTACGCTGCTCACAAACCCCACCGTATTTAAGGCAGCAAAGCTCGCACCTAAAAGACTCCTCTTCCCTTCTTCCCTTTAGCCAGGTGTGCCCTTGTTCTGCCCAATGAGACACAGGCAGAAGCTGGTGGGGTGTCTTTGAGGATGTTCCTAACTTGCAAAAAAGGATGGATGGGGGGTTATGGGAACTCTCTGTACTCTCTGCTCAATTTTGCTATGAATCTAAAACTGTTGTAAAATAAATAGCTTATTAATTTTAAAAAAGAGGGGGGAAAAAAGGGATATGCCTGCCCTCTTCGCTCCTTCCTTCCCACTGCCTGAACTATAAGTAAGAAGATTGGAGCTGCTGCAGCCCTTTTGGGCCAGAAGGTGACAATGAAGATAGAAATCAATTGCTGAGGGGGGTAGAACTGAAAGAGGATGCGAGGATGCAGGTGACACTATGGGACAGTTATACCTGTCCTGGGCTGACAGCCAGTGTCTTTGTTGGAGAGAAAAATAACCTTCTATGTTATTTAAGCTAAGTTTTCTTTTCCTGTTAAATACAAATAAACCTAATCCTAATTGTACCCTTCTATTTCCACACCAAAATTCAAAGCATATTTTTTCTTGGATTTAAACTCCAAGAGCTAATATATTATGATTATAAAACGTGCACAAGACACGACACTTCAGAGAAAGGTAGAAATAAAAGTACTAATATTTTCACTCCACATCCCAACTGACAGAATTAGGCACATCCACTCTGATGACACTACTCTCACTTTCTTACCTGAGGCACCTCTAGGAGACCTAGAAATCCACACAGTGAACAATAAGTGGAGTGTGTACAGCTTTCCCTTCCCCTAACCCCTTGGGGTAAGTCTGGGCCCCTTCTGAAACTAGCCATTAATACCTTTACATATGTAAACCCCAGGAGTACTAATACAGAGCGTAAATGTTCATTTTAATTCTAACTCAAATTTTGTAAAGTAATTTTACAAGCACAATATTGAAAACTAATACAAGGCATTAGGTCTCTACTAGCCTGCACTTAAAACACATACTTTAGCTTGAAAATAAAACACACTATCAGTTTCCCTCCTTAAAAGCAAAATACCAAACTGATAAAGACTTTTAAACTTCCCTTCCCCTCTAGTAAAGGACACAATCTTAGATATCTGTTATCTCCCGGAAAACTAGTTCCAATAACTAATATTAAATGTCTATTTGGCCTAAATACTTGAATGTTACTCTCAAATTGAATAACCAAGCACACATGATGGGAACCATGCAGAATGTTCTGGCAAATAAATATACATATTAAACAATACAGGGTAAAGCCCTCATATCACCAAACCACTAAATTTCGTAATTTTTTATCCAAGACAATTCTTTGGTGTCCTTAGGAATATATCAAAAGTCCACATGATTATGTCCATATATATGCACATTATAGTTAGATGAACAGGGACCTACGCCACCATTATGACAAAGGGAGCTGTAATCAAATAGCACTTTGTTGCCCTTGAATAAGACACACGGAACTGTGGTCTGTTCACATTTTACCAGAATCGTGGACTTCAAAGCATTCTCATAGGACAAAGTCCAGTACTAAGTTATATCACATAGAATCAGGCACCAGGCTCTGGGTAAGAAATCACAAGCGAATATCCAGGTAATACTGAAGAAATGACAAGTGAGACTCCATAAAACTAAATAGCTAAGTTGCACGTGTTTTGTAAGAATGGTGGTCAAGGTGGGGAGAAAACCTGCTTCTCCAGGCTCTTTGTGCTGTGAGAGAAATGGCACATGTACAGGTTAGTTTATCCTTGTGCGTCTAAACCAACGTGGGTGCCTACAGGTAACGCAAGGTTCCATCAGGGGCCCTTTCAGCAATCCCAGATTTTTCAGGTGAACGAAACTTTTATCTTGCTTCAACTGAAACCCTGCTTATTATAGAATGAAATGTTCCAGATTAATACAGACGCACAAAGTACAGACAGGAAATCTGTGTGCTGGTCTCTAAAAGATGCCAACTTCTCTCCCAGGTGTCCTCTTCTTTAAACTGCACAGGAGGTCTACGATCATCATACTGAGGCAATTTAAAATTGATTCACAGTGCAGCAAACTGCTGCCAGCAGCTGTGAACATCCATCCGTCCCAGGAGAAGTCCCTATGGACGTTAATGCATCAGTCACAGGGGGCCGTGGAGGAGGCCAGCACAGCCTGCTGTGCTGCAGAGCCTCATCAAACGAACAAACCAGAACACACAAATGGCTCAGGGTCTCAACAAGGGATCAACAGGAAGTAAAAAACTAGAGGAGCAAACAAGACCGTCTGGAATTAGTTATTCACCTTCAAGAATAACAGGAACTTCAAGAAAAGGCCATACTGATGGTGCATCATGACAATCTTAAAGAGATAAAAGGAAACTCACCTTCTCTACTGCTTGAGGAACTAGGACAAGTAAAACCAACCAGGAAGGGGGATTTATAAACAGATAGTGAGTATTTAGAAACATCCATCAAGCCTGAATTCACGGTGAGGCCAGATACAAAAGAATATTACGTGGTATGGTTACATTTATAGAAGTTCAAACACTGGCAAAATTCACCTGTGGTACTGAACGTCAGGGTGGTGGTTACCTCTGGAGACTGGAAGAGGCACAAGAGGGGCACAGTTCTGGGGTGACAGTCGTGCTCCATTCCCGGTCCAGGCAAGGGCTGGCTGCATGGGTGGGTGCCCTTGATGAAAAGTTGCTGAGATATACATGTCTCATGCACTTTTCTGTATGTATATCATATGTGAATTTTTAAAGTTTAGATCATTTATTTATTCAAGCAAAAGTCAAGGGGAGGGCTCTGAACCGATTAACACATTAGATCAGGCCCATGACCAAGTCGAGAGCCCTGACTATGGTGTTAAGGGGACCTCAGCTGTGGCATGCTGGCTCGCAGCTGTACCGACTGTGGTGTCACTAACCGGCCAGTCTGTGGCCTAGAACGTATCCGTTTCCTGATCCATAAGATAGAAATAATAACAAAACATAAAGGTCACCTTATAATGAAATATAAAGTTGTTGTAAGGATTAAAAAAGATAATAGCTGCAAAAACATTTAACACAGCACTTGACACATAGCAGTGGGTCCTCAGGAAATGACAGTATCGTGAAACCATCCTGACTTTAAAAAAGGGAAAGTGAGAGTATGTTGAATCGACCGGTAGACAAATGTGAGGGCTAGGGGATGCAGAACAGGAGGAAGATGCAGGGTGGGAGTCAGGAGCCCGAGGGCAGCGACTAGGCAAAGAAAATCATAGACTTCATAAATCATAAAAGGTGAGAGTGGGGGAGACAGCACTCAGCAAAGACTTGAACAGACGTCCAAAGAGGACAGAAGGACGTTTGGATAGGACTGTGGACTCCTTGTTGGGGGCCATACCGCTTAGCTGAGCCCTGGCCCCCACCCAGCTTTTTGAATCAAGCACCTATGGATCAGGATCGCTTCTGATTCTGAGATCTGGTTGTAGAATTGAAAAGAATAAAGCCCACTAGACTTCACAGATTTAAAAACTGAATGAGGGCCGAGCCCGTGGCGCACTCGGGAGAGTGCGGTGCTGGGAGTGCAGCAGCGCTCCCGCCGCGGGTTCGGATCCTATGTAGGGATGACTGGTGCGCTCATAGCGCTCACCGGCTGAGCGTGGTGCGGCCGGTCTCAAACAGGACAAAAAATAAATAAATAAATAAATAAATAAATAAAAATAAAAACTGAATGAAATCAAAACTTGTTCAGAGCAAGGGGCTTTTCATTTACTGGGCACACAGCAGAGGTGAAGGATCTATAAGGAAAGAGTGTCCACTGGGGTTCCTCGTGGCAGTGGCCAACTGGAAAACAAGACTGCGTTCCGGGGAAGCGGGTTGCAGACCGGCACCTGTTAATAAAACTATGTTGTGTTCTGTGGCCAAAGGAAAACAGGTGCTTACAGAGTTGTTGATTTGCTGGAAATAGACAGAAACTGCGGTGGCAGAACCAAGTAAACAGTAATGAAGAACCACGTACCCTGAAGACAACGGCTGGGACTTGGCACTCTTGACGTGACATTTCTTGTTGCATTGACAAGTATCAAAAATACAATCATGTCAAAAATCTTCACTCAGTCTTCAAGCTCTTTAGGGCTCATGAGGCTCTTTACAGTTTAGTCTCAACAGGTTTCATTTCATGCGACCCTAAACTCTAAACAGGTCAGTCCCCTAAAATATCACATGCTGTCACATCTCCAAGTTTTGCATGAACTGTTCCCTCCTGCCTAGAACAGCACCTTCTCCCTCCTTCTGCCTGCCACGACCTCCCCATGCAGAACACTTCTTTCCCAGGGTCCTAGCTCTTCCTATAAATCCCTACTATAGTATTTATCACACTGCGGGCATCTCT